CGTATTCCATAGCAAAAAAGCAGAGGTCCCGAGGTTGGTGACCAATTCAAATCAAAATAGCACTTAAAAGATTATTGATTTTTCTGTGTTGCAAAGTCATATTGGACCATATTAACTCTAATTTAACAGAAATTATACTCTACTTGTTTTGATACTTCAAATTTGGGATACTCACTAAGCAGATACCTATTTGTTAATTCTTAATTTGCTATTGATAATAGTTTTATTTAATTGAATTTTTTGTAGTGCTAACATATTAATCTTGTTTCTTTTTCGCCTTAATTTTAAATTGTATTGTTATTGTTTTGTTAGCTTATTATTGAATATCTTACATTGTTACCACCTTGTCGATTTAGTGTTCAATTTTTGTTGATCGGTAAATGAATATTATGTTTCAAATTACGAACATGAACGACTTAAATAAATAATGTCATTTTAACAATTTATTACGTTATATATAATTTGTATTATATTGAATTTCTTACGTTTCATCCCCTCAATGAAAATCCTCAATCCGTGAGAACAATTTCTTGGAATCAACAAAGTAGCATAGGAAAACAAGAAAAGAAAAATGAAAAAAAAAATGTCCTTTTTCAAAATTTTAATAAAAGATTAGTTATTTGGGAGTCTGTTTGGGAGTGATTTTGAGAATTGATTTTTTGACCTTTAAGAAAAAAGTGGGATCCACCTGTGAAAGAAGAAGTCAAATTTAATGACTAAAATAATAAAATAACGGTCAAAAAATTAATTTTTTAGATGAAAAAACCGGGCCCAAACAGGCCTTAAAGAACTGATTAACTTATGACTGCTACCGAAAGGTGCCACCCTTTGCCTCCTCCATAGAAAGTTAAAAGCTGTCGACCAATCAGATTTAAGATTCCTTTTAGTTTTCTTTTTTCTTTTCTTTTGGACAGCTGCGAAATTATGCACGCACCCCTTATATATTAAGAATTTGTAAACTGACCCCTCGTGAAAATTTAATGTCATAAAGTGACACAGACTGTAGAATTAATACACCAGATATAAAGAAAAGGGGAAAAAGAATTCCAAATAGCTTTTAAATAAGTATTCGATTTAATACTAAATCAGAGCCAGTTCGAACGTTAGGCAAGGAAGACGATTGTCTAAGACCATAAAATGCAGAGATGGCCCTATGATTTTCTTGATATCAACAATTGATGGAATTGCTATATGGATTTGGTTTTTTCGTTCTAAAGAGATTAATAGAATTTATGACTGATTTTTTTTGTCTGAAAATTTAGATAGGTTTTCTTATTAGTAATAGTAAAAAATTATTTTAATAAATTTATTTTATCGACCAAAATTATATCGGTAATAATAAAGTAATAACAATAAATAAATATTACTAATGAAAAATTTGCCGTTAACAAAATAATATTAAGAGAATAATTTTAAATTTCGGACATAGT